AGAAAGTATAGCAAATCAGTAACATGGAATCAGTAACATGCCTTGCCCTCAATTCAATGAGAAATTATTTAAAGCCAGCTTTTCCAAACATGGTACCCTTGAAATGTGTTGAACAGAACTCCGATCCCCAGCTAGCTTGGTCATTGGATATGCTCATGCTGAGGGTGATGGGAATTGTAAATCAGCACATCTTTCCCAACTTGGAGACAGCTCATTGAGACAATGTAGAAAGCATCAGGCACTGAAACATGACTCAAGAATTGGGTTTATTAAGCTGCATCATTGACCTACTTAAAACTGGGTTACACAGTATATATTAACTTATAAATAAGATTCAATGTAAGGACTTGTAGTAAGATGGTTGATCAGATCTATGTTTGCTTACTAAAAAATCATATGAAATAAAGATTGATAAAATAAATAAATTAAATTAATAATAATAAATGAATGAAATAAAGAAAAGTTTGCTCATTGCTATTCTAGTACTCAACTGACAGGCTAGGATAGAGACCCACACCACCCCCTTACCTTTGGTGGTGGTCCTTTCAGTTAGTCTATGAAGAACATGATTTGGCTGATGAAGAACATGATTTACATATCAGTGGCTCTTTCTTAAATAAGTCTGTAGACGAAAAGCCTGGCTGAGATTCCAGGAAATCTGTCTGTTGCTTTGGGTGAGGTACACAACTTCCTCATGTTGCTATAAGATAAGATAGGCAACTCAAATCCATCTTGAAGCGGTAGGATGGTAGTGCAATAGAATTTGGGTTATATTTCAGACAGGATGAGTCAAAGGAAACTTATTCAGTGGAGGCTGAAGCTGCTTTCAGATTGTAGACAAAATCTAATCACAGCTTCAGGCCAATTATGAGAATTTGAGATTTATATTATTACGGCTTAATGCTTGACTACACATTGTAATACTCCCATTTTGCTTCAGCCTTGGTACACTTGAAATTAAATTAAATTAAACATTTCCAGGCACAAAATGTATAGCAAAGTACAGTTTTTTAGCTGGAAAATGGGGTGGTGGTAGTTAAACATCCACCTGGGGGGGGGGGTCATGTGTTATGAATCAATTCTGCTCTTTTAAAAATCATATTAGTCTATGTTGAAGTAAATTGTTTCGTAAATTGTGTTTGCCAAGTTTTGTGTGCCAAGTTCAATGGGTTTTCAACCTCAAGGTACCCTGTAATGTAAAATGTTCCCTTATTTCCTTATATGTTTTTATTTTAGTGTTGCATCACCTAGGCAGCTAACTTATTGGAGGTTTAGCTTCTTGTGCCTCACAAGTCCGTTCAGCTCCCAAATTAAAACCAATGTGCCTCTCATTCTGACAAAGCAAATAAAAATATATTGCAATACATTATTGCTTATTTCCTGTTTATTGCCTCTTTGAAAACTAAATTGTAGTTTGGCACATCAATCTAGCACTATGCCACTTCAACACAATAGCCATACAGAAGGAAAATAATGGTTTTAGTATGTGTTGATTCTTAAAAGGAGAGAGAGAAAAATCAGGACCGGAGGCACCAAAGTGCCAATTAATGTATAAATGCAGTGATTTGAAGTCCCCTGGACTGATACATCACACAGCTTATAAGAAGACTGAATGTAAGGTGTGCCTGTGAGGATGCACACTGTGACACAAAGTCCATGTGATGTTAAACTGACTTCTAAAAACCCAAACCAGCTCTCAATTCATTTCAACGGTGTAGTCACACCCTTAGTTTCAGCAAGCCTTGAGATATGTGCCTGAGATCAGGAGAGTGAAGGTTTCTGTTTTTATTTTAAGAACAAACCAGTTCCACCTCATGCCCAAGCACAGAAAACTGTGGTTTGTCCTAAATAAACCATCAAATTTGATGAGATACCAGTATCAGCATTAGAAACTGGTAGTATATTTTCCTTCCAGAGACATAATTCTTTCAAAGTTCCATGGCTGAGCAAGCAGACATGTAAACGAAGCCTGTATGTACCTACCAATGACCAATCACAAAAAACACAAGGCAGATGAAAACATATTTTGCCTTTTAAGGAAAATTTCTTCTACAGTCTATAGATTAGTTTGACATTTGTTTAAAATTCGAATAAAATTGGGTCTCCAGAACCTGATTTTTTAAAAAAAAAAACACCACAAAACTAACAACAATTAATGGTCATTAGAACAAACTGTAGATCACACATGTGGAATATGGCACAGAATTGTAGTTTGTTCCAAAATGAAAGCACCCTCACCCCTCTTCCTCTTTGTACATGCAAAGGAGGAAATAAAGGACATGAATCCAATGCTTGCTACACCTCATTGGTGGTCATCTAAACCAGGAATGGATGTGAGTCTTCAGCTGTTATTAGACTGATACTCTTATCATCCTTCACTATTGACTATGCTGGTTAGGACTAAAGTGGGTTGTAGGCCCAAAATTTTGGAAAAGTTGCATCAGAGAATTCTTGATCTAAACCATGGTGGTCAGAACTGGCCTTGAGAGTAGCAAAGCTCAATGCATTACAGATACATTCTCAAACCACAGATATTTGCGCCCTGTTTAAAATTAAACATAAACTCCTAGTCTTGACTGGCAGTTCAGTTATGAACTTCCAAAAAAGTCCCAGACTTCCCTGATGAATCATAGACTAGTTTGACTTCTAACTGTGCATGGGCAGACTTGAAACATGCCAGATATCTGCCTCAAGTCCCACCCATTGAGCTTGTGGGCTGAGAAATGCAAGTAAAATAGAAAGTCCCTCCCCATTAGGCAGGGGATTTTGAAAGAGAAAATATCACCACATTTTTTTGATGACATTCTTTCCATTGACCAGTCCCTTGGCTGGTATTTGGCCCGGGGGAAGGCTGTACTGAAATGGGTTGAATATAGGTAGACTCTTAAATGCTTGTCCTCTGTACGTTGACACAGACGCAAGTCATACTGAGTTCAGCTAGAGTTGTTCCCCAGTAATTATGCTTAGACATGTATGCAGCCTCAGCCTTCCAAAAGTAGAATGACATAGGCAGAAATTGAAAAAGAAAACTTTTATTGGCATATGGTGTAATGATGAAAAACATTGGATTTAGATAGATGAGACCTGGATTGAAATATCTGATCAGCCATCAAACTCTCTGGGAGGTTTGGGACATGTCGTCATGCACTAAAGGAAGGAAGGAAGGAAGGAAGGAAGGAAGGAAGGAAGGAAGAAAGAAAGAAAGAAAGAAAGAAAGAAAGAAAGAAAGAAAGAAAGAAAGAAAGAAAGAAAGAAAGAAAGAAAGAAAGAAAGTAAGTAATGGCATGTATGATGATGATTAGAACTGTGGAGCTGGAAGGGACCCCAAGGAGCATCAAGTCCAGCCTCAGTCAAGGAAGCACAGTGGGGAATCGAACTCCCATCCAGATATCAAAATCACTGAGCTATCTAGCAGTTAGATTTAGCTTGTACACAGATGCTCGCTAAAGTATGTGTGTATACCAAACTCATCAGTTTCTTATATATTAGCGAAGGCTTTCACGGCCAGGATCTAATGGTTCTTCTGGGTTTTTCAGGCTCTTTGGCCGTGTTCTGAAGGTTGTTCTTCCTGACGTTTCGCCAGTTTCTCTGGCTGGCATCTTCAGAGGACAGCAACCTGTACTCTGGTGTAGTTGGCTTGGGAGTGCAGTATTTACGGCTGTGAGATAGGCTTTTGTCTTTTCCTGTAGATGGATGATTAGTGTGTATTGTTGTGGGTGTATTGTTGTGCTAAGGGGAAGAGATTATCTGTTCCTGTGGTTGATGGGTGTCATCACTTTCTTGCTTTATACTTCTTATGCCCCTCTCTTTCAAGAGGATGTTAGGGTAGTTTGCATGGATAGTTTAAGCATTCAAGGCTAAGCACAGCATTTCTGGAAACAAAGACCAATCTGATAACATGGGCAGATCAGAATTTGGGGACTTTACTGTTTTGACAGTCTTGGAAACCCCCAATTCCGGGGAGGAAAGCACCTTTTCTGAGCTTTGGGATTGCTCCTTGGTGAGTTGTGGCAGACCAGTGACAACCAGGAAAAAGTACCTTTTGTGGCCATCTTCAGTACCTTCCATCTGCCACTGGTTTGGCTGACTGAGCTCCTAAAGATTTGCCACTGGACAGTCAGACAGTGACTTGGCAGAAACAGAGCATTGCCCAGAATTCTTTCTGGCAGCACCATGTACTGTGGAGCTAACTGAGAAATCGGTCCATGTGATCTTCTAGAGGCAGCAAGGACCACCAAAAATCAAGGATAAGGAGCATCAAAATATGAAAGTGGAAGTGGTTGGAAGTCTATGTCCAATTTTGAAAACTTGTTTGGGTGTGCACCAACCAATGGCGCAGGGGGACTGTGACCTATTGAAAAAAATGAACTGTAGCCCCTGGATGCTTCCAGGAGCAGCAAGGCAAGTGTTCTTGTTGGGTAAGCAGTTTTCTTGACAGGGAGACTGGTGTGCACTTTGACAATCCCAGGTCTACAGAGAGGTGGCAACCCAAATCATGCCACCTCAGTCATAGTGGAACCTGAGGTGTTTAGAAGGTGCAGCAGCTTTTCCTTCCAACTGAACCCTTACACCGGCCTTTGTTGCTCCTTTCCTTTCTGGCAGGGCTGGGGGGCCTTGGGCTGCTGGTAAGGAGCAGTAACTGAAAGGAGCAGATGAGAGAGGAATGCCGCATAGAGCTGCCAAGCTCAGAGAGACGGCTGATCATCAATATCAGTGTAGGAGAGCAAGTGAAAATAAATCCAATGAGGCTGTTGTGTGAGAGGCGGCTGGGCTACTCTGGAGCACATGCCAGCTCCACCATCCATTCTCCCCCTCCTCCCCCCCAGCCACCCCCCACTTCAGCCATAGCATTGCCCCAAGCAGCAGCCTAATCCCCACAGGGAGAGTACATGAAATCAGATGGACAAGTTTTGATGTGAAGCAGCAGCTTAGGGCAAGCTCAGGTTTCCTGGAGGTTTGCTATATTTATCTCTGTGATTTAATGCCCGCACGGGGTTTAAATGCCACCAAGCAGTTGGTGTGAGGGGCCGGAGTTTCACTCCCCAGCGCAGGCTCTGCCTTGCCAGACGCTCACCATGGAACTCCTAGAGACCAACCCATACTTTTTCACAGACCAACGTTTTTATGATGGGGAAAACTACTTGAGCCCTCGCTTACATGGCTATGAGCAGACGGCCTACCAAGATCGAGCAGCCATGACCCTATGCCCGGAGGGAAGGCCTGGCATAGAGGAGAAGGCGTCCGCCCTGCCTGACCACAGTCCTGGACAGTGCCTGCCTTGGGCATGCAAAGTATGCAAGAGGAAAAGTGTCTCCATTGACAGACGCCGTGCAGCTACCCTGAGGGAAAAGCGACGGCTGAAGAAAGTCAATGAAGCTTTCGAAGCTCTGAAACGAAGCACCTTACTGAACCCAAACCAACGGCTCCCCAAGGTGGAAATCCTGCGCAGCGCCATCCAATATATTGAACGCTTACAAGCTCTGCTCAGTACTCTTAACCAACAAGAGCGGGACCAGCGGGAACTGCGTTATTGTAACACCAGTACCCAGCCAGTGGTAAGTGCCAGGGGATGATGGGTACAAGCCATCAGTAAATGTCAGCGTTGCTTCAGAACACACACATCAAGTGATTTATAGGAGCCATTAGCTACTGCTCCAGCTACTGCAGTAAAGGCATTCCAGATAACCTGGCATGAGAAGAGGGGATTCCTTCAGTTCTGAGGATGCCTGAATGTTGCAATGCGAGTTTTACATGCCTTCTGTAGCTTGCATATTAGCTTGCTTCATTTTGTGATTAGTCATTAGGAGATAAGCAGAAGCTGTGTTTGCAGATATGATTACTCATTCATGAAATGCTGATTCATTCATACTATGGGATGTCGCCTTTTAATGACAGCTATCTGTAATGTATAGTTTGGACTGAAATGACTAGTGTTGTCCATAGGCTTCATGCTCCAAAGTTCCAGTTTGACAGTGGACACCTTCTTTTCAAGGTTTAACAGTGGTTACTAAATCATATCCAGTGTAGTGTAGTGGATAGAGTGATGGAGTGGGACTCTGGAGACCCACTTGGCCATGGAAACTCACTGTGGGAGTGAAACTGGTAAAACAACTCCTTAAATATCTAATTTACCTTGCGAGCCCTAATAGAGTTGCTATAAGTTGGTTCTGAATTAATGGTATATGACTAACTAACCAACTACCCCATCGTACCTGTTTTAGATTTTTTTCCCCCAGACAAATTGCCCTTCAGAAACAAGTACAATAGTCAAAGAATATAGGAACTTTCATTCTAATAATCTTGGAGGCACCAGTTTATGGTAAATTGGGGCATACATATGCCACTGTATTCTGACCATTTATGCAGCTGAAGGCAAATTGTCAAGTCAACGACTCAAATACAATATGGAATAGAGGGCTGTATCCTATCCACCTAAACTTATCACAAAAAGACAGAAAATTATTCGAGTATAAAGGTGCTATAAAAGTTGCCATACAGTCTTCACATTCCCAGCAGACAAAGCTAATAGATCACCATGCAGAACATGTTTCATTTGAGTTTCTCCACCAATACAGGTGTGATTATGCATGTGATTATGAGGTGGCTCTCGTTTAAATTAACTGAGCATATGGAGAACATTTACTATTTTTAAAAAAGTGTGGCAAAGCCTGATAAACTGCTCAATTAAGAACTTTGCAATAGATGCTTTCAATATCTACAGATGCATGCTGTATCAACTATACAAAGTACATCAAGGTTTTTCAAAATGGGCAGGAATAGCAGGGCACTGATTGGCACAATCCTTATAAACCAAGTGACCAGTAGATGGAATTTTGTTCAACAGATGGCACTTTAGAAGCAGGTTCCAGCACATGTGCCAACAAGGAAGGACTTGTGAACTGGACACCTGTTGAGTTCACATGGGTTACTGGATGTCTCCATTTAGAGAGGCACAAGGGCATTTGGGTACAAAGCCAGACTTTCATTGCTAAGGGACAGAAGATTTAATAAAAGATGGAGAAATGTGTGAAAAGCATTCTTGGTTTCCTCTCTTGCTCTGTGGAACGACTTGCCTAGCAGCTTTTGAGATTTGCCCTTGAAGACCATTCTGAGATGAGAACATCTTGCAATATATTAGCCGAAATCCTGTTGCTTAGCATAGTAAATCACACTAGAGTAGGCCCATTGAGTCAATGGAGATTTAGTGAGTCAATTCCTCCGTAAAGTCCATTGATTCAAACAAGCATACCCTGCAGTATGCAAAAGTCACAGTTAGAGCTGGCTCATTTAAATCAATGGAACTTATAGAAGAGTTCACTCATCAAATCCTCACTGATTCAATGGGCCTACTTTAGTGTGATTTACTACACTAAGCACCAGGATTCTGGCCATTGTTATTTTACTGTCATAAAAACGTAAGTGCCACTGTGAGAAGGAGGATAAGAATCAGGAAAACGGATGTCTATAGAATAGTTCTCACAGCCTTAAGTAAACATTTGCTGTTTTCTAAAATTAAAATATAATATTCAGGACAAGCAGTAGCCTATTTCACCCCTCTTCATTTTCATTGCCTGGAGAAGGAACAAGTGTTTTGATGTTTAGATCAGTTTTGGAAGGGTAGCAATTTGTAAAGATTTCCATGATACTGAGTCTTTGGTAAATGTTAGACTGAACATCAGACTGAAGCCTTTTATTTTTAATAGTGAGCTCCATGTTTCCTACATTTTGTATGATCAGACATTAGCAAGAGAAGCATTCAGCTATTGTGGGTGCATCGTGGTTGCACTTCTGTCTATAACAATGGAGAGAGTAATTGCAGTTCATTCTTGAGAAAGTCTCACAAATAATATGCCCACTTCTGATCAGCAAAAGAGTAGAAGATAGCAGAAGAATCTCAGGTCTCAAGAGGTTGTTGAGTGGCATAGCTGTTGGCAATAACACACTCCCTTGCTCTTGTTGTACATCTGGGTGTGCATTCAAGTGTCCTAGGCTTAGGTCTAACATTCATGAGAACGCTGCAGATTACAACTAGGAATGAAAGCCTTGCTTGTCTTCTGAGTTGCCGCTGTTATGGATTTAATAAAGCAGTAACATCTTGAAAGGGGTCCTAACAAATGAAAGCACACATTAAAACAACTAACTTTGTGTGCTTTGTGGTGGTACCACAGGTACCAAATCAATATAGAACACCTGTGAATTAAACTGAACAGAGATACATTTGCTAAACTCATGCTTCACTATCCAGGTTTAAGATCATGTGCTTTAGCCTCTCAAAGGCCAGTTGTATTAGTTGGTTGCAGCAAAAGCAAGGAGTCCTCTGTCATCTTAAAGATGAATACATTTATTCTCAGACGACCTTGCATGCTATAATAAATTTGCCTTTCGCGTGTCACGGGATTGTTTGTTCTGTTTTTATCTTTTGTTTTAAGAGTGTCAACCTGTAATTCCTGACATCGTATGCCTCCTCATTTTCAGTTGAACCACTGTCACCACTCTACCAAGAGCTGTATGGCTTATCTCTACATAATGAGTCCAAGCCCAGTTCAGGCTGGCTCTGTGCAGGAAGCAATTGCATCATGTATTCAAGCACCTAGCACCCGTCATCGACCTCTCCCAGATTATTCAGGGTTTCAGGCCATAATCTCTCTGTTCCAGGGATGTTGGACAATCTCTTGGTCCAAGTCCCAAGTCCAAGTCTGAGTCTTTGGTACCAAGTCCCAGGTCTGAGTCCCTATGAAAAACAACCTTTTTTTCCTCAGAAAAAAGATAGAGAGGGGTGAGTGGGTTGCAAATCATGAGTCAAATCTGAGTCACTGAAGAAGAAGAAAAACACGAGTTGAGTCTGAGTTGAGTCACTGATGTGACTTAAGTCCAACTTGACAGTGTGTCCTGCAGTTCAAGTCCCCATCCTTGGTCTGTTCCCTTCTGAACAAAGAAAGGCAAACTGTGTTATGGTAGAAGATCAGGAACTACTCTTACTCTGTTCCAATGGCATCGCTTCCAGGCACACAAACCAAGGCACAAGACCTTAGCTTGTATGAGTCTGACCACTGAAATTCCAGATCAGTTATCTCCTTAGTATGACTTCTGGCCCTTTACACTGTGTGTGTTTTTTTTTAAAGAGCCAGGTTAACGTAGCGGATAAAGTGTGGCAGCTTGGAGCCCTGAATTTGAATCTTTGCTCATTGGGTGGGTGTGTTTCTGTGGCACTTATGAAATCACCCCTTAAGTATCTCACCTGTTTTGGAAACTCTACAAGGGCCACCATAAAACAGGATCCTCTTTGTAGCATATAACACACAGTGCCTCTGGGAGTTGATTTCAGTATTTTAGTTAATGGTTGTCTGAAATACCCAACAGATAAGAAGCCATGCCCCAAAGGTAATATTTTTCAAACATAAAGAAAAATGGATAGAGAGGAGGAAAGAGATTAACACTGCCCTACTTTCCTGAGCACACTTGATTTTGTCAGCTTTTGGAAGCTAACCTACTTAATACATCGAATATTCTGAATGCCAGGGATCTGTAAGTGGGGCTGGGAAAAGAATCCTCCCTGCATCTTGGAGAGTCATTGCTGCCAGTCCAGGTTGACACCATTGCGCTAAATGGAGTAGCACTCTGACGCATTATAAGTACAATTTGCTTTACCTGATGAAGTAGAGAACATAAGGACATAATCCAGGTGTGGAATTGACCAGATAGGCGGGTATAAAATAAATAAATAAATAAATAAATAAATAAATAAATAAATAAATAAATAAATAAATAAACCTTAACCAAATTTTAAAGGCCCCTTTGTTTTTTTATTTCAGGTGGCTAGTGACCATGGACAGAGCAGCACCTCATGCAGTCCAGAGTGGAGCACCCAGTTGGAATTCAGCACTCATTCTGGAGGTAAGCAGAATGCATGGCCCTCTGAGAACAAAACTCTTGCTTTCCCTTTGTGGTGAAGCTTGGCCGCATAACTTATCAGCCTTATCGCACCCAAGAGCCCCTTCTTGGTTCTTCAGCTCTCTTCTGCCTTGCAAGGAAACATGTTTCAGATGCTAGTTTCCACAGGATTTAAAGTCAGTAGTGGTGGATGTGGGAATGTCTTGAGTTTTGTGACAAACCTGGTGAAAACTGAACAGAACTCTGGAAAGTCACTGCTAGCCAAGAACTGTGATAATAAATCCTCTTGTCCTTTTCAAGTGTCGATCAAAAAAGAGGCAACCCCAAATTGTGAGTAACTTAAAAGATCTTTCCAAGGATGAGAACTGCACAAAAAGCTCCCTGAAGAGCAACTAAACATCGTCATTAGAATAATTTGGATTCTAAAAGTATGCCAAAATGATCTTCGTTTTCTTTTCAAGTGAGATGTTTTACATAATCTAGTTTACTTTTGGGAAATTTAAATAAAAATGATCACTTCACTAGTCAAACTAGAAAATAGTGCAACAGGAACCTCCAAGTAAGCTACAGCATACTGATCTTAGTGATTAGGTCACTAGGTCCCAGGTATAATTTGCACCATTATTATTAAAAAGGTTACCTCTTAGAGAGGTCCCAAGCTCTATGACACTTGCTACCATTTCTCCTTTCGGATCTGGCTGTTTGGTTCAAAATGAAGGCACTTCTACTCCATAGACTGCCTACCAGTATGGCCATGTGCCCCACTTTACAAATGACAGTCCTCTGTCCAAAGGTGTCTTCTATTTGAAGAGAGAGAGGAAGAAACTTCAGTGTTAAAAACCTGTTGTAGGCCACGGTGCCCCAGCTTTGGAATGCTGTTTCCTACTGCTGAGTGATAGTTTTTCAGAAGCGGGTATGAAGAACCTTTTTGTTTGGCCAGACTTTTTATTGTGTTGAGTTTTTATTAAACTTTTGCCTTCAGCAATTTGCTCTTAAATAATGTACGTTACTATGAGAAGCTTTGTCTGGGAACAGCACATACAATTGTATATACTGATAGAAGTGTAAGGACTTCCATTTTCCAATGGGATTTAACCTTTCTATTGTGTTTCCCACTGAGTCTTGTGTTCTCCTGAGGTGACTCAGTTTAGTCATTTTAGCTTCTGATGAGATTTAAACTTGATTTGATCTAGAACCCACTGATTTGTCCTTCTGACAGTCTTTGGTATCCAGAAAGCTGTTCTCCAATATTGTATTTCAAATGAATTAAATTTTGCTAGTCAGTGTTCTTCATTTTCACCCAGACTATCAAAACAGAGATTTAGTCTTGCTTCCCAGTGACACATTCTTATTCCCAAGGAGCTTGCCCTTCCAAGTGTCAGGTCTTCTAATTTATTTGCTGCAGTCTCCATTTTGATCGATGTTTAAAGTTTAAACCAAAGTATAGATGTAATTTTTTTAAAGAATTCACTATCCTTCACTATTAACCTTAAAGTGATGTGATCCTTCTGTAGTTCCAAAGTTTAAAATTTTAATGTTTTAACTGTAATTCTGCTTTTGCCCTTTCTTCTTTCACCTTTATCCACATTTCCTTGATTGTATATAAATAGATCATACCAAGATTTCACAGTGACATCTATGCTAAGTCTAGTCGAGTACATCCTTCCACAGTTTCAAATAAGATTGCAGAGCTCAGCTCAAATCATGCAGGAATTGGAGAAGAATTCTCTACCAACTTCTATTTTCCTTATTCCTGCCCACACAGTAATTGTTCTTTGCCTCCGGCCCAATGCTCTCTGTTTCTCCCCTCTAGTCTTTCGCTTTTTCTCCCTGGTTTTCTTTTACCCAGTGGTTATTCAAGCTTCTCTTCTGATCATCCTGCTCACAGACAGCAAAACTGTTGATCTTTACTTTCTGAGGAGTTCATGGGCATGAAAAGGGAAGCAGCAGTTTCAACAATGCCTCGGGGCCCCTGTAGAGCACCCCATAAGCCTTTGGAGAAATGAGTATACAAAGCTTTAGTGTAGATTCCTTCGTTCCTGGTTTGTGAGGTCTGCCATTTAGTGATGGTACTGCAGGCTACAGGAAGATTTAAACTAACCATGGTAACAACACTTAATCAATTTTGAAATAGCATAATGCTTGAGGGGGCATGCTGATAGGTAGACTTAATGTGCATGCCAAGTTAGATGGATTTCATACTTTGGGAAATGCTGCAGTAATAGATTGACTTGTCCTTTTTAGTATAGATGCTAATGAGTATGTGGAATAAAATATAAAGGCTTTCACAGTATAAACTAGCTGATAACAAGCAGCATTCTTACATTAGATCCTATGGGTATAATAAATCTATGACTGCTAAAAGCAAGGCCTTTTAGCTGTTGGGTGTTATTTAATATTAAAAGGGGTGATCTCTTAGGGAGCAAACACTAGGCTGGATTTCAGTGAGATATGGACCATGACTTTGATTCTCACCGAATACTTCCCCACCTCAGCCAACTCTACTTCCACAGTAACTGGATTCTGATACCATCATTCATTCATTCATTCATTCATTCATTCATTCATTCATTCATTCATTCATTCATTTTTATTTTATTTTATTTAACTTATATGCCGCCCACACTACCCAACACTACCCTGGGTGGCTTACAGCAATTTATAGTGTCACCAACTTTTCAAACCTTGATAGAAGGGTAGGAAGAGGCAGGGAAATTATAACCTTATGTGCTATACTTACTTAACTTCCCAAAAAGGAGATTGCAGGTTTGAAAAGTTACATTGAAGTGTGACCCAAATGGACTATCCCATTGTTCTCCTTGTCTGAAGATAGAAATACTGTATGAGAAATACTCACTAAATTTCTCTTATTAGTTTAGCCTCTCACGGGACAATTTGACAAAGGCGTTTCAAGCCTCACAAAATTCCTTGCCTACAGTGGGAGAACAAGATAAGGAGCTTCCACCCTGCCCTGTCAAGATTCCTGCAATTTGCATAAAATGCAAATTTTGCACAAAACTCTGCACAAAGCTAGTGCATTTTCCTTTTAAGCAGCAAACTGTATGCCCACATACCTGTGCGCACCAGAAAACAAGCACAGATTGTGTTGTTTAAAAAGATGCAAATAGTTCACCTGATGCTTTTAAGTCCATGAACAAAGCTACTTCGCATTATTTGCACAAAAATACTTCTTTCAGATGTGAGAACTCCTGAGACCAGTATAATCTTTTCTCACAGATAAAAATTGTGGTTTCTTATTCTTGAGAATAAGATTGAGACAAGTGAGAATTTGTATCTTGAACTGAAAAGCTGGGGATGGATAATTGGTTCCATATCCCTTGAGGTATAACCTGATAATCATGAATTGTATCAGATGGGTTTTGAACTTTTCTGTGTCTTTCCCAGTCCCAAGGTTTGCAATATCCAGGGCCAGTTAAAGATTCTGAAGAACTAAAAGGCTCACTTTTCAAAGAATATTTGGTGACACAATGAAGGCATTATTTCACACAGATTTTTTAAAAATATTATTTTACTGATGGACCACATGGTTGTTACTTGTGATGAGTTCTCAGAGAAAACTATCTGCCTAAAGTCACTCTTTTGTTCTCCACAGATCATCTGCTGAGTGATGATTCTTCTGAAGACCGCAACCTTCACTCACTGTCTTCCATCGTGGACAGTATTGCCGTTGAGGATGTGTCTGCTGTGTTCCAAGAAGAGAGAGCTCAGAACTGAGGGTGCAGAAAATGATGTACATCTCTCCAACAGCTTGTAGGTTGAAGACACATATTAGGACTTTACACTTTGGAGAACCTGCTACCCTCACTAATACCGGATGATATTCCAAAAGGGTAATGTTCTCCTTCCCAGTTAACATTGGATGATGTTTTATTTCCCAAGCCAGTCATAGACTTTAATCAGTGAAGCCACCTACCTAATTCCGTATGTCTGAAAACTGGTTCTACTCCTCCTCACATCTTTCTAAACCAGCATCAAGATAATGAAATACCTAATTATTATTTAAATACCTTCCTGGTTTCCAGAAATGTAGAGTATTATAATTTTTTTTACAAATGTAAGACTCTTATCTGTCCAAGAAATCAGGGAGATTTGGCTGACTGCTAGTATGTCAAAATATTATTGGGAATGCTAATTAAGGGTGAGAGAAGTGACACCACTTCTGCATGTTAAGGAAAGATTCCAGTGTGGCTTTCTGTTTTCTTCCCACATTTTTAGAAGTTTTGTGTCTTTTGGGGGCCAATGGTTCTTATTGTTGTGGGTGTGTATAAGTGTGTGCATTTTTTAAAAAAAAAAAATAGAAGCTATCTGACCAACTTCACATGGCAGTTTGCTATTTCCAGGCATAGAGGCCATATAAAATGCTGCCATTAAAGTCTTTTCTACTGTGTGGGGTTGCCATTTTTTTTTATTTTTGCTAACTTATTGTGAGTTTTTTTAAAATAAAGTTTTGTTGTTTGAATTTATTTTAAGGAGGTGTTGAGAGTTATTTTGTTTTTTCTAGTAAGTGCTGACTTTGACTTGCCCCGAAAAACAGTCTTAATACTCAAAACACATTGAATATGAATTGCCTTCTGTGCTCACTATTTTCAGGTCACAGCCACTCCTCCTCATTCTATTGTTTCAGTTGTAGCCACTGCCAAAATATATACAAGGTCATACTTGTGTGCCATAAAAATAAACATTTTTAAAAGCCCAGTGTATCTGCCACCCACAAAAATAGCAGCCTGCTTCACCTCTTACCTCTGTTCATGCAGCTCCTGTACGGTTAGGCAATTTGTTCTACCTCAGCAGAGTACTAAAGGGAGTTATGGGTTTCACACATAAAATTGCTCACCCTTAGATTAGCCTACTTCTTGCATCAGATAAGTCTACTCTTCAGTTTCCTGAAGAAGCCAAACTAATACTGTAATGGTTGTTGTGGGTTTTTCGGGCTCTTTGGCCGTGTTCTGAAGGTTGTTCTTCCTAACGTTTCACCAGTCCCTGTGGCCGGCATCTTCAGAGGACAGCACTGAAGATGCCGGCCACAGAGACTGGCGAAACGTTAGGAAGAACAACCTTCAGAACACAGCCAAACAGCCCAAAAAACCCACAACAACCATTAGATCCCAGCCATGAAAGCCTTTGCGAATACAATACTGTAATGACCGAAGACTTTTCCTCTCATGTTCTTAAGCAAGGGATGAGCGATCTCAGTGAGATTAAGAGCCTTTTTTCAGATTTGTGAGATAATCACTAGGCCACTGGCATGAGGAAAAGCCAGTGTGTATAGAAGGTACCCTCAAAACAATTCTTTATGCAGAAGCAAAGGTAGCTGCAATTCTTATTCATAACACATTCTACAAACACATCTTTTCTGAGCATATCAGGTATCGCATGGCTGAGAGAATTTCTTGGAAATCCATGTAAAATCAACAATATGCAATTTGAGAAAACTGGTAAAAGAAACCTATGTGTCTGAAATCCTAAAATGCTCTGTGGAGTGATGCCCTTGATGCCCTTCAATTGCTTTTGTTTGTAAGATATGCCCTCTTTACTGGTAGAATAGTTGGTGACTGAAGGTGCACTCTTGTGGCAGAGCTTAAGAACTTATTAGTTTGGGAAGATACCTTTTACTGAGTCAGACCCCTGGGCCATCCAGTCCAGTGTTGCCAATTCTGACTGGCAGTACTTCTCCAGGGTTTCAGACAAGATTCTTTCTTGGAGAATCCTGGTATTTCCTGGTGTTCTCCCATCTAAGTCCTAATGACATCCAACCCTGCCTAGTTCCCAAAATCAGTCACAATAATTATGTTCATGTGCAGTTTGGTGATTACATAATGTAATGCATCAGGTAATCATACATACTGTATATTAACTCCTGCCATTCACCAGGGAAAACAGCCCCTTATTGGCATGTATTATTCTGAAAGGTGAGTGGGATAACTTTTGTGTTTCTATGTTGTACTACTTCTCAGTCGTAAAGTAACGAGACTGAGCTAAAATCCTGAAGGAATTGAATGGTTGATGGACTCATGAATCATCATTTACAGGCCAGATCTAAATCTTCTGCTATTAGTTGCAACAGGCATTAGAACCGTATTCTGTCAGAAAGATATCCTAAATTGTGATCATGTGGCTCAAAGCTAGTTGTGATCATGCAAAAACAGTAATGTATTAATGCAGAGGAGAATTATGAACCAACCAACCTTGCTTTAAAATCTGATTTATTGGAACAAACATACATCCATTCCTGACCTGTTTGCAGGGCTTGGAATCCATGCAGTACCAATATGACAAAAGAAAGAGGTTATTGATTATAAAGGGGTCACTTACTCTTTAAATTAAAAAAATATTTAATACTGTATTAGGCAAGTCGTACACCAAAAAGACATTGCAACTGTACAGTCTCTTGGATATTGCACTTCCAAACAGCACAGTATGGGTATAGGGCATTCCAGCCATCAAGAAATATCACATCAGTAATAGGGGGCCACACAAGGCAAAAGGCAGCATGAGGAGAGAACAGATTCTACCCTAGAGGACAGAAACAGTGACAGCTAGGAATCTTTTGTATTACAGGCTATCTGTAAATGCAAAGAGAAGAAAGGAGGATTTCTGTTTGTCTAAAGGAGAGATAGGGCATCTATCGTGAATGCAACAAAGATGTGTTCAGGAAATCACTTGTACTCCCAGCATCAGATTTTCTCTGGTACATGGACACAGGGCCTTGAAGACATATAAACTTCCTTGACAGCCAGTCTTTCTCTTCTTCCATTAAGCACTACCACTCAACTCTTTTTCCAGCCCTGGCCCCTTCTCATTTGAGGACCAACACTGTCCATAGGCAGAAGCTCCTTGTTACCTGTGGCACGATGGGAAGCTCCAGCAGAAGCATGGTGTGCCCAAAGGAGAGTGCCAAGCTGGGTGTTCCCATATTTTCATTGCCTTGTCTCCTTGTCAATCATCTTATTGAGTCTGAGCCTTCCAGTGGGAACAGGCAGCTACTGCTGTTCTTAGGCATATTGGCAAAAATGAAGCACAGGCAGATGATGGCGCAAGGGGTTGCTATAGACCAGCATTAAAGTGCCTCCATGTCTTACCAGACCTACATCAAGATTACCACATCACACACAGTACAGACTTTGCGATATAAAGGCCTGTATTTTCTCTTTGTGTCTAAGGCCAAGGGAAGGAAGAAGGATACATGAGAAGCTACAGATATAACTGGGGTTAAAGGACACGAAACAGGAAACCAGGGGGATTGTGTACAAGCAGAAGGAAGATTGTCCTTTTCGCTGTGTGGCCTGAGCTGGTTGGCCTGTAACTTCTGTTCTTTGGAGCCAAGGAGCAGGCATAGTCTGGTCTCTGACCTACTCCCGGAAAGCCGCCAGTGTATAACCATACAAGTAGTGTGAGTGTGCTGGAGAGAAAAATAACAGATAGATATTAAGCATCAGAAGATATACTGTGACAAATCTGTTCTGCACCTGTTGTTTCAGTCTCATCTGACCATCTAACTTGGTGCTACTACAGGAACAAAGATCACCCAAGCATGAGCCTGTGAACACAACAGATAGAGTTAGAATATTGCCTCCTCTCTTGACTAGTCAAAGGAGGAAATATCTGCCCACAAAAAAGAGGCACAAAAAGTTCTACAACAACATTTCAACTCAATATTAGGAAGGACCAAGTAAGCTTTTCACTTCCACTTTGCTCCTTCTATTACTTAATCTGCAAGAGCCAGCTCCAAAGAATGGAAGGGTCAGACTTCCAGTAGGGCTTCAGCAGCAGCAAATGGACTACTGTTCCAATAACTGATACTTTGCATGGAGCACTTAAGGGCATAACCAAAAGATAGTCATGGTTTACACAGACCCCATTTTTGCTAGGTAGATTTTGGAAAAGTTAAAAACATAGGAAGCTGCTTCATAGTGAATCAGAGTCTTCATCCATCTGTGTGGTCAACTGACTGCTTTTCAGGGTTTCAGACCAAATTCTTTCCTAGACCTACCTGGAGATCTGGTATTAATTGGTAATATCCCAACCAACATTCCATCTAATATTTGGCCCTGCTGTGTGGGAGCCTTGCCCTTTGTGCATGCGCGCATGGGGTGTTAGCCAAAACCAGAACTAAACAGGCAGTAACACCAACTGCCAGCACACAACCCCAATGGAGCTATACACATGTGCAGTTTAGAGGGAACATAGATACCAACCAAATACTATCCATACGTGACCTGGCTTAGCAGGTGAACTCAGCATGTTCAGACTGCCAATTGTGATGAAATAGGCTGAGGGATTCAGGGGCCCATAGTCCAAAAGCAATTTTTCCAAACTCTGCCTAACAGGTTAGAAAACCCTATTAAAGGTGTCTTTCGCAAATATTCAGATACCATGTTGATCAGCATCACTTGGGCTACTAACCTCATAGACTGGCCAGGACCTCACTGTGAGCAAAAGACATTCTACAATAACCTAGAAAAGGAGGAATATCCAACTGGCACAACTGTCAAAACTTCTCTGCCAATAAATAGATCCTGACTTCTAGGACCTATGGCTGATCACTTCTACAAAGGGAAGTGGGATATAACATAGCATCATGTCGTTAGGACAAGCTGATCAGGTATGGAGTGGCAAAATAGTTGGAATATTGAACTCTGGCTGGAAATACCATATTTCATGTCTCTGAGCAATCATGGCGTTCACGTGGTGGCTTTGGGCTGGGTTTAGCTTACCTCACTGAGTTATGAGTCATATAAACTGGAGTTACCCACATACAGGCCAGTCCTGCTATTAGGCAGAGGCCACCTCAGATGGCAGGAAATTGTTAAAGGAGAGAGCTCTGCATGTCATGGTCCACTTGCTCTGTATTCTGCAAGCTAGTCTGCAGCCCTCGATAGGATGAAAAATGCAGTTCTCTCACTAGTGTTGAAATAAGAATCGGTTGCCAGTCTGACAGCCTCTACATGGAATGGGATGGAGGTGGAGAGGGCACCTTCTTGATCTTTGCCTTCTTAAGCTCAAAGAAGGAAGTATGGAATAGAAATAGGAATGGCATTATAGCATCATACATTATACAGTCACCTATATCACATGCTGATAAAGCTTCCTTTGTAGGACAGTGGCATTCTTCTAACATGTGTGACAGAAAGTACTACCACCTGCTTTTCTTGTGAATTGTATTCTTTTATTTGTCAGGCAAATAAAAGAATACAGCACACAAACTTTATGGAGAAGATCATGACAGTGATTCTGAATATAGGAACAGGAACACTCCAATTTTGCCCCTATTTTAATCTATACAGTGCTTGAAGACATGGCATTTTACATCTGACAGAACAAGTCATGCTGAAAGCCCTCTCCACTGTGCCCTTTAGTAGCATCTTTCATCTCCATCTCCAGTCTGCTCACCATCACCTAGATTAAATATCTAGCCTGAGGAAATTTTCTATAAAATCTGAAAGGCGGATGGTTGTTCAAAGATACCAGATTCTGACAGAATGAATAGAGCAATGAGCGCAATGAAGCAAAAACATGGCCTATACACATGAACCACAGTTCAGCTGCATCACCACTAATGTCCACTGTGTAACTGCTTACAGAAAATTCTGAAAACTAGGAAAAATTACAACGAATGGAAGTGGAAACATGTCAAAGTACAGCTGGGGAAAGAACTTAGAAGTTTCTAATGGATCTCATAGAGTCTGAATTCTACTGTGTCAGGCCTCAAAAGAGTATAATACAACCCAGACATCTGTAATTAGAAATAACAAATGAAGGCATGTGTATGCAGCACACAACAGCTCCAAAATGTGCAAAATGCACATTTGTGCATAGGGACGGAAATAGGCCTAATAAAGAAATTTCAGAAAACATTTACCCAGCCAGTTTATAATGGAAAACACTGACAAGTTACAACTTTCACTGGCCATCTGTCAATCTAAGCTTCCCTTTGTCATTTTCCCTATTACAGCAAAGAGAACATTGAGGAAACTTACAGATGCTTAGAAAAAAATGTTCACACAGAATGACAGAAAAGAGACAGACAAACTCAATGTCTCATTCAGGTCAAAAAGTCATAAAAAGGAAAAACAGGCATGCATACATGCACACACACACACACAAAGACTCATACATGTGGGCAAAAGAAGTTGATATTGGCACCCAGTCTCCTACTCAGGGGAAAGAGGAGGACTCGAAACACACCGAGAAACAAAAATACAAGCAATCTCATCTTCTCCCGTTCCTCTGGCAAGAAAATGACAAGAACAAGAGAAAATGTGAAAGGGAGAAACTGTCAAATGTAGCAAATTTACACTTTACTACATGTGACGCTGCTTAGTGTCTCCTAGCTGTCCATCCTCCTCCAATCTAATACTACAAGTGCAGGCAGGGCTAATGAACAGGCCAAGAAAAGAGCTGGAGGTCCCAGTCCCTGTGAATGTGTTTGCTGCAGTAGATTCTACCATCTCTCCTCTCCTTCCCTGCCTTACAATACCTCTAGTTTTGCTACAATTAGCTCTTCTGGTGTGCTGAGAGGACTTTATGCAGAAGATAAAAGGTAAGTACAGTGGTGCCTCGCATTACGTTAATTCGTTCCAGCGAAATCGCTGTAGAATGAAAACGTCATAATGCGAAAATAAAAAGCCCATTGAAACCCCTTCAATGTGTTCCAATGGGCTGGAAACTCACCGTCCAGCGAAGATCCTCCATAGGGCGGCCATTTTCGGTGGCTGTCTTGTGAGGAATCCGTCTCAGAAAACAGCAGAAAGCCATTTTATTTACCCGGCGGCCATTTTGAAACCGCCAATCAGCTGTAGAAAAATCGTCATTTTGCGAAGAATCGGTTCCTGAAGCAGGGAACCGATCATCACAAAGTGAAAAAACCCTATTCAGACCATTGTTTTGTGATTGCTTTTGCGATCACAAAAACGTCATCATAATGCGGTATCGTCGTAATGCGGGGCACTCGTAAAGCGGGGCACGACTGTATCTGGGGGAGGGCACATCTAGTGCCATTTCCTGGCCCACAGAGGCTAAGCAAAGATTGCCCTAAATCACTCAATATTTGGGCAATTTAGTAGATGGTATCACTGTTTCAGGTTTGAAAAAAGTGTTGGAACGCCACATCTTTGCATCCCAGCACCACAACACTTACAACTGCGAAGAGCAAGACAAAGTTGGTCACAACGGTATCTAAGGCCATATTTTTGCAGGACTTCTGAGTTGGGGTTAGCTGAAACTAAGGTTGCTGACTGAATAAATCTGGTCCCCATGAGCCTTATGGCAACAGTGCCATCATCTAGTCTGACACAGCTAAGAGGTTACTTTGTGGTTCCTTCATATGTTGTAGTTCACATGAGAATACAGCACAAACTCCACGCTATTAACTTTATCATCATACTAGCTCCCAGTTTTAGTACAGAAAGGTAGAATACAGGAAATCTCCCTGCTGATAAATTAACACAGACTACAAGAGCAGGATTTAGAAGCATGATGGTAGAACAGTAGAATTCTCTGCACAAAAGAAAATTCTGGTTTCATCCTGGATGTTCAATGGACTATTGGGATGGCAGCTCCTCTGACCTAATTTCTAAACTTACCTGGGGCCAGGGCCAAGTCCCAAGGAAAAATGAATCTCAGCAGGAGTATGTGCGAACTGTGGATGTCTCCAGTCTTTGGGGCCCAGATGCACCAACTGCAAACCATTCAGCAACAACACACAAAAGCATGCTATTAGTGAGGTCACAACTCTCACGCAAAGCACACAATTAAAACTTGGTTGTCCTGTTAATTGACTATCTAGCTTGGCTTATCATGGATATCAGGAATTACAGGCTTTCGTTTGAGTGATTATATCATTTTAGTAAATTAGTTAAATAATTTAAAATAATTAGTAACCAATGCTGTGAATAGGCACGAAAGATGTATGGCTTCAGAACATGATAATGGAAGAAAATTTCAGACCAGCAAATGACCAGATGTGATCTAGAGCTCCCGGAGTGCCAATTCATGGATTTTGACCTGGAGTGAGTGGAATTGCTAACCTTTGTGAAGATGAGAATTAAAATCCAGTGGAATTGCTAAATATGTTTCATGAATTTGATTCCTTCTAATCTGCCCTGTTTCCAAAGATTAAAGTTAGACATTTCCTTTACCATTTGTTAGAAACTAATAAATAGATATTAAATTGTTTCCATTGTTGTTTTTCAGAACTCAAGCCTGAGGCTAAAGAAACAAAGTAAATTCCATGCATGGAATTCAGATATGAGTATCTTAGCAAGAAGAAATAATGACACAGTAACTGCTCTCAAATCTATATAATAGAAATGGACATTGCTTACCCTAAAAGACACTGAAAGAAAGCCCCTGTGTTTTCTAGGCAAGAGATATGTTTAGCAGTTATGATGCAACTCGAGAGAAGCTAGGCTTCACAGCAATAGCAAACACACCGTGCAGCATCCAAATAGGTGGCAGATAATTTGGAATAGGCTTACTGACTAGCCATGAAAAATAACATAGGAAGCTGGACTTTACCTTCCGGTGGCATTTTCTTTGGTGGTGCCGATGGGGGCGGCAAAGGCACCAAGGATGTAACTCGAAACCCTGCTGGGAGTGTTTCTGCTGAGCCACTGAGCATGTTGATGCTATGAAACTCCCGAGGGCGGAAACGCTTTCTCCAGGAGGGTGTTCGCCGAAATGTTTTATCATCGCCCTGTAAGAAAAGGGGCAGGGAAGATGTACACCATCATATACTGAGGTTTTACTTCATGCCAAGCACTGTGCCACACATCTCTGGAGGGAGCTGGATCCAGTAGGCCTACACTGAGGAGCATTAGAGAAAGGAGCCTGGACAGGCTTCCTGTACTACAGGGAAGACAGCAACCAGGAAAGTCTGTAACAATATGCAATAACAGGACATTTCAAATAAGTCTGGGCCAATTCTTCAGTCATTTCTTAGACAGGCAGATTTGTAGCCACCAGAAAAAGGAAAATATTTTTCTCAACAATGGCTCCACTCTGGGAAGTCTGAACCTCTCACATTTTCACATAGAGCATTTCATGACTGCTATTTAAAAGGTATGCATACAAGCTAAACACTGAACTAAAAATAACTCCAAGGTGCCATAATTCTGTTTTGTTTTTCATTTACCACAGTGTTTCTTCCATACACTTACCCAAGGTGTATTTGTAATAGTTATCTTTGCATACACTGGCTGAAATCCAATAAGCTGCAATTAGAGTAAGCCTATTGAATCAATGGAATTTATGGAGGACTTGACTCAGCAAATCTTCAGTGATTCCCCAGTGAATAGGCCTACAGTAACTGCAATTTATTATTGGATTACAGCCATTTCTCAAAGTGCTCTGCTTAGACCAATGCCTATGAGTTATGTTCCTTTTATACATGGTTCAAAAGCCAGTCTTGACAACAAAATTTGAATAGTCAGAATCCAAGTAGTGTGATTGCTTTGTCTTACATAGCCATCAACTCAAATGTCCTACATGTGCTGAAGCACCAGTTTTATCAGCTTGACCTGGGATTTTTTTCTGACAGGTTTTCTTATCACCATGTTGTTGTTCAGTAATTGTAATGTATTTTACTTTTTGTTAGTTGTTCTAAGCAGTTTATATCCCACCTTTCTCCTTAAAAAGGACCTAAGGTGGTCCTTTAACAGGGATTTGCTGTTGAAGGGATCAACAAAAAATAACTCAATCCTAAATAGGTGGAAGCAGATAGAAAGTGAAGCCTATTTCAGATCTGAACATCTGGGCAAACTCTCCAGTCTGCATTATTATTTTTATACACTTATTGCCAACTATATGCTGGGCACCATATGAAGACACTGAAAATCGCTACACCATCATATATTAAGCATTAAATTCAACTTGTCTAGACTTAAGTTCCTGTTCAGCCATGAAAACTGAGTAACTTTGGGCCAGTGTGATGGGATCAGCTTGAGCACCCTCAGCAGGCCATCTAATCTTGTGCCACAAGCCCAGGGGATCACAGGAGAGAGCCTCATGGGCCCGTAGCAAGCAAGGATGCACCACTACAGGTGAAAGAAGGGCCACCACCTGATATGGGACAGCTGAAAGAAGGTGTGACAGCAGGGGAAATGAGGGAGGAGGAAGTAAGCACTGGGATACCATCCTATGGGCCTTTGCAAACACAGATAGAGGACAAGGGGAGCCACTGGCTCCTACCAAGACAATTTGGTCAGGGAAGGGGTCAGAGACCTGCATTTCTGGCAATGCAGCCTCCAGCTGTTCCAGCACCACTCTAGCCTTGGCATCCTTGCTGTCTGGTGGGAGCCATGGAGCCTAACCCAACGCAGCTCCAGCACTGGAGACACAAGCAGCTACAAGCATTGCAAAGAAGGCTCTGGGAGGCCAGTCCCCAGCAACCACATTTACTATCTCTCCCTAAAAGGACAGTGTCCTGGATTGGTTCTCATACTTCCCACCTGCTTTTCCAGACCTAGATTTTTGGGGACCCCAGTGAAGACAAATGGGGTCTCAGTCAGGCTGACTGTACCTACGGGTTTAGTGCCAGAAACCCAACCCCCTTGGAATGCAGGGGAAGTGGCAGGAGGGGCTTGTTCTGTGCCTTTAATAAAAGCTGTCATGACTGGTTGAACCAGGCTGGAATCCGTTGAATTTTTGCTAGGGGACTTTTCAGCTGGAGCAGTGGGACTCACACTGGCATGCAATGTTGGGCATCTCCAATTGTCCCAGGGATAGCCAAGCAATGGTGTTCCTGGGCCTTGGAGAGGCAATAAGAACTAGTCTAGCAGTTAATGGAGCCACAGAACCAGCTCTTGAACCAAGTGTTTGCCACAGAACTACAAAGTCTAGAAGCAATGTTGCAGCACACTGCAGGAATAAGGGAACCTTCCACCAACTCCCTCCCAGTCCCCATTGGTGCAGGGGCCCCTGTGAACCTGCATCGACAAGAAGGGAGAGCAAGATGACCTGGTGGTGTTTTAAAACATCTTTAAGTGTATCGCAGCAATGGTTGGCTGGCCACAGAACCATTGGACATCCACTGAAGCTCCTTGCCTCACCAACCCAGTGCAGGAGCTTGTTGATGCCCTGGACTCAGCTGATGTTACTAACTATGAGAAAATTAAGGAAGCATTGTTTAGCAATCTGAATTTGTCTCAGGAAGCCTATCGCAGGTAATTCAAAGAGTTGAGCCTTAAGGCTGGGCTCTACCCCTGAGCAGTGACTCAGAAAATGAAGACCTATGTTGTTCGCTAGTTAAAATCTGTGTCCAGGTGGTGCTAGAGCAGCTGGTTTCCACTCTGAACCCTGCCCCAGGAGCTGGGTAAAATGACACTAACCCAGCTCCACTGAAGAAGCTATAAAGTTGTTGGAGGTATTTTGGATGGTGGAAGAGCCCAGGAACAACACTGCAACACCTCTGCAGAAGAAAGAGAAACTTCTGGGACAGACGTTTAATCAGTTTAATGCTGTGCTTCCATTGGTGCAGGGGAAGAGAACAATGCCGCAGCAGAAGTCAGGGGCCTCCATGCAGTGGAGTCTGCTCAGTTCCATTCTCTTTCTTTGGCCACCTACCACAACGGATGGGTGGCCAAAGAAAGGTCTGCCTCCACACAAACCAACATGCTTCATGCATAGGCAGGAAGGACATTTTAAAAAGGAATGCTTGCTGATGGAATGCTCCTGGGGCTGAGCATTGGTGGTGGCCAGGAATTAGATGTGTCAGTGAATAAGGTGAGGAAGAAGGTGGTGGTGAATAAAATCTGTGGGTGGAATTTAACTTGAAGGGGAACCTACTCAGGAGGTGTTGTTGCTCAAATGTGTATACAGAGAAGTTAAGCCTTATACGACTTCTTGGGCCAGGATGCAAGTTAGTAAGCACACTAAGCAGAATGGACCTCAACAGATGGGAAACCTTGACATCTGAGCATTCAGCCTGGAGGCAGGCAGTGCAGCATGGCCTCTCCCAATTTGAAGACGCCCTTGTCCAGCAGGTCCAGGCAAAGAGGCAGTCCCGAAACCAGCAAATTCAGGGAGCTGGGCAGGGGACAGATTGTATTTGTCTTCAGTGTGGAAGGGATTGTCACTCTCAAATTGGCCTTCTCAGCCACACTAGATGCTGTTCCAAGACCACTATTCAGAGCATGTTACCATAGTCTGTGGAGACCGGAGGATGCCCTTGCCTAAGAGGTTGAGGGTGGGTATTGTGCCTACTCCAAGAGGCATATCCTCTTGGAGTAGGACTGGGCAATCTGAAACGGTCATCTTCTTCTGTGGAAAGGGTGGAAATATTGGCTGCTGAGAAGTTGGATTTGACTTGGCTCCTAGAGATCACCTAGGTTCTAGGACTACCTTTGGCAGCAGGAAGATCCTTCCCTGTCCCAAGCTCTTGCCTTGACTCAGCTGGAAGGGGAGGCCAATACACACTACCCCTCTTCTGACTCCTTTATAGGCTCCTTCGAAAGCTGTGGGAGCCCTTGCGGCTCAGCTGGCACTATCCCAGAAATTAAGGCAGGCAAGTCTTAAGTGGCCCATGATCTGCCAGTTACAGGTCACCTGGCAGCTGAGAAAAATCAGCCCAGATTCTGCAACATTTCAACTGGTGCATAAAGAGAGAGCACAATGTTGCAACAATTGCTCAGAGTGCCATTGGGTGCAGTCAAAAATACCTGAGGGGGACTATTAATCTCAATGCCTTTTGTGGAATAACTGAATGGAGAGCACTGGACATAGAAAAATCTGTGGCCAGGCATACCCATATCCTAGTAATCACAGATGATGCCACCAAGTACCCCAAAGTCCTGCCCTTGCAACCTAGGTGATCTCCAGCTGCCAAACATTGGCCCAGGAATTAGTGGATCTTTTTTCTCACATGGGATTCCTCTGTAAGATATTGACAGACCAGGGCATGAGGTTTATCAGCCAGACACTCCAACAGATGTTGGCACTCTTTGGTATACATTTTCTGAAAACATCAGTTTACCATCCCCAAACCAATGGGCTGGTGGAGCAATTCAATTGAATCTTGAAGTATATACTACAAAAGAATGAAAAGCCCCAGCAGTGGCAGCCAAGGTGAAGCCCCAGGTATTTCTTCCTGGGCAGAAAATACTCCTCTGGCTGCCCTCTGCTTCAGCCAAACTCATTGCCCAATGGTAAGGACACTCTTAGGTGGTCTGGTGAGTGGGGCCTGTTGACTATAAGATCAATATCCCTGATTGTTGTCAGACCCTCCAAATATTCCATGTGAATTTTGTGAAGGAACAGAAGGACAGAGAAGCCCTCTTTGGGGATTTGCAGGATGCAGCCCTGGGCACTGAGGCCATCATAGCCAGGTTGAAGGCCTACCCTAGGGGGAGCATTTCTTCTCCACCCAAATATCCCAAGTTTACCAGGTGGAAGCAGATTTCCAGGATGTTTTTACATTCACCCCAGGGATAATCCAGTTTGCAGAGCATGCCATTATCACTGACCCAGGGGTAGTAAAATGGGTTCCGGGTTGAACATGACCTGGACAGTTATGCCAGGAGGAGGTGGACAGTCCCTGGAGAAGCCAGAGAGTCCTTGTCCTGAAATCATAGGGCAGTATTTGGTACTGCATCAACTTCCGCTGCCTCAGTAAGGTTTCCAAGTTTGATGCTTGCTTATCTGATGTTCTGGGTTGACACATTATTAGAGAAGCTGGGGAAGGCACTGTTTCCTAATCTC